GACCTTGATATGTAAAGTTTAGACAGATGCAAACATGAAGTCCATAACACATTGGAACAGTAAGGGAATAATAAATATTATTTTGCTTTACATTGAGTTTGCCAAAAATCCATTGTATCTCACATGTCTTAGTTGTTGATACACAGACTTATGTAGGAAGAATAAAGAGAAAATTGGAGTAATAATTTCTATAATTGCATTATATGTCAAATAAAGACAAATTTGGATTTAAGCAAGAAGAGATGGTATTCAAAAGGATTATTGTAGGAAAGGTGAAAGAATGTGCTAGTGGAAGGAGGACTGTTGTAATGTTGAATTCTCTGACCAAGAGGTCTGCAAATATCTCAAAGTTTAGAGAGAAAGGGATTTTCTTTTACAGGGAGGAGTAAATGAGGCTAGAAAGAATTGGATGTGGGGAAAGTAAGATGACCATACAGTAAAGTAGATATTAGAGAATGTTTTACCCAGACATCAGCCTATTTTATTAGGGAACTAAAGAAGAGGTTGTATGAGGTGTTGGTGTAATGGGGGATCAGGGTAAGCAGGGGTTAGGGGTCAGCCTAAAGGGATCTAGGAAAGAGAAAATTTAACCCAATAAGTCTACTGAGTCACCAAGTTTTTAAAAAGTTTGGCTAACAAAAAAATGATTTGATTTTATCAATCATTAGTGATAAAACAGTTCACCTAATCACTCATAAAATACAGAATAGAAATGTGTTTTGCTTTCTTATAAATAAACCAGGGACCACCCTGAGTCTTATATAAGTCATGGTAGGAACACTGAATTCTTTGCAGTCAGTGACTTCTCTGAACAAAGAAGGGTAGGAGGACTCTTAATTATCACTGTTTTCAAGGAACACAAGGCACAGGTAACATTTACTAGTTAGCTCTAAGAGGAAATTTTGCCCGAATCCAAGTTTGATATTTTACAGGAAATATAATTAATAAGCATGCTATTTTTAAAATTATTTTTTTTATTTTATATATGACAGCAGAATGGATTGCAATTCTCATTACATACATAGAGCAGAAGAGATTTTTTATATCTCTAGTTGTATACAAAGTATATTCACATGAATTCATGTCTTCATACATGTACTATGGATAATAATGTCCATCACATTCCACCATCATTTTAACCCCATGACCCGTCTCTTCCCCTCCCACCCCTCTGCCCTATCTAGAGTTCATCTATTTGTCCCATGCTCCCTCTCCCTACCCCAATGTGAATCAGTCTCCTTATATCAGAGAAAACATTCGGCATTTGGTTTTTTGGGATTGGTAACTTCATTTAACATTATCTTTTCTAACTCCATCCATTTACCTGAAAATGCCAGGATTGATTATATATTCTTTGCTTTGTGTCCAGGAAACACTATTCTTTTAGAGATACCAAAATTATGTGTGTTTTTGAGTCAGATAATAAATTATTCAGTAATTATAAAATACAGACCCCATCCCTAGTCCCAACCTCCCAAATAGCCTAGGTTTCTTTGAATTAAGCTTTATAAAACTAAGGGATACTTCCAAAAATAATTATCATGCAAAGTCAATGATAAGGGAGAGAAAAGATATAGAAGAACTTTCTATGTATTTTGGAAATTGCCCTTTCCAGATATTTGGATTGCAAATATTTTCTCTCACTGTGGTGGTGACCTTCTTGTTTTGCTGATTTTTCTTTTGTGCTACATAAATTTTATACCTTGCTGTACTCCCATTTAGATATTTGTGTTTCTGTTGCCTGTGCCTTTGTTATCATACTAAAGAAAACATCCCCAAAACCAAGGTCAAGACATTTACTTCTATATGTTTTTCTAGATTTTGTGGTTTCAGACCTTATATTCAATTATTTAAATTCATATTTAGTTACTTTTTGTATAGGGCAACATCCCCTGATCCCTACCAAAATGGCCATAGGACTTGACTAGACATTTCTCAAAAGAATACATGCAAATGTACAACAGGTATGTGAAAGTGCTCAACATCTCTAATTATCATGAGAATACAAACCAAAACCACAATAATATATCACCTTACAACTATTAGGATGGATGTTACCAAAAGAGAAAAAAGAAACATTTTGGTAAGGTTGTGGAGAAAATGGACCAATTACACGCTGAAATATCAGGCCATGTGAGCAAAATGGAAAAAAGAATGGAGGTTCCCCCAAATTAGAAAATATAATTACCATATGATCTAGCACCTCACTTCTAGATATATATCTAAAAGAGCTGAAATCAGGATGTTGAAAAAATATCTACATGCCCACGTTCATTGCAGTGTTATTCACAATAACGTCATTATAGGATCAACAAATGCATCCACAGAAAGATGAGTGGGTAAAATAATGTGATATATACATACAATATATTGAATGAATGTATAAATGAATAAATAAAATCTTCCCACTTAACTCTTACCTGAGTTTTCCTGTAATTTTGTTATATAACTGTATACCCAGCTTAATTGTTTTACATTTTTAAAATTTCTGAACATATAGACTTACATATGGATATTTTTTCCTAAAGAAATTAAAGGAGAGGACATAGAGAATTAAAAGATTTTTTTAAAATTATGACTATATTGTTTTTATTATGTGTACTCTAAGTAATTCAAACTAAATAATAAGAAAAATCACAAAAATGTTTAAGTTATACCACCTGAACCTAAGCATTATTAACATTATGTAAACATCTTCATAGACATCTCTTTTGATTTGTAAACATATTTAAAGAGAGATAATTTGAAATAGATTAGATAGAGACTATTTCAAATTATGTCTCTTTAAATATGTTTACATATATTTATATATACATATCCACATAGATATGTATGTATATGTGAAATAAACGCATGCATACATAATGAAATTATATATATGCAATATATGTAATGAAGATAGATGTAGAAAATGCTTAATACATAAATATTATCATAAGATATATTTCATCCCAAAAGTTCCAAGAAAATAATGTTCAGGAAGAAGGCATTATTGCATGTTTTAAATGTTATCATTTATTTTAGACTTCATTGACTTATAATTCTCTGAAATCTTAAAGGAATTAGTACAACAATTTTTCATTCTACATCTAATTTTTTCTTAATGTGATTCTGCAATACTGCACTGAAACACAGTTGAAAATACAGACTTAAGAGAAATGTTTCTTCATTGTAGCACAGCATACAGTTAATCCATACATACATGAGGAATTTCCTCCAATGATATCAAATAATGCCAAAAGGATCTGCAGAAGATATAAATTGTTAAACTAAAGGAATGGGACAGCTAGCCCACATTCTACATTTTTTTTTAAATCATGTACTCACATTTGTTTGATTTTGATTTGTGATTCAGTTGTATCAGTAATATGCTTTACTAATAGTTTTAAAAATTAATTAAATATTTTTAATTAGATTCAAGGAAGAAACCTGTTAATGCAAATACTAGAACCAAATTTCTAGCTACAATCATAATATCAATAATTATAATTTGTGAAACCCTTTCTATCTGGAAAAAATGTATAAAGATTTTTGTAAAATCTTTAGTTTACTGAATGCACACAAAACTTCATATAAGGAATGATGTTTTCATTTTGTATTTAAGGAAACTGAGACTTTAAGAGCTTACAATTATTTGTCTAAGATGATGTCGTTGATGTGTAAAAGGGGAAAACTGAATCCAAGCTTTGTGCTCTTCAATGCTATGTTACTACTGTTTGCATCTTGATTCTTCTCAAGAATCTCATCAGAAACAATTCTGTAAGATGAAGAAGGGATGAGTGTGGGATGATGAGAGAAAAGGAGAATGAACAACCTTCAACTGAACTCATCTATAAAATGTAAAACAAATGGACAGAGCATTTCACTACCATTGGCAGCGTCCCCTGGCATACAATCGCATAGCCATTTCCTCCAAAGTTTAATATCCTGATTGTTCTTGTAATAAGGGCAAGCCAAGCACACGCCAGACTCTTAAGGCAATTTATTTTTAACAGAGCAGAAAGTAGGTCAATTTGATATCTTAAGCAAAAGTTATTTTCAGATGTGTTAGAGGATTTTAGAATATGTTATGTACCCAAGAAAATATTTCACAGTTGGACTCCACAAGGATAATTGAATGTATAGGCAATGTAAACATATTTGTCACATATAGTTAAACACTAAACATTGAAATGTTCATAAATAATTAATGTGCATTCCAGTATTAATCTACAAGAAATTGCCATATGTAGAAAAATAGAAAACAAATATTTATATGGTAGTAAATTGTATTTTCAATTAAAATCAAGTTATACAATTGGAAGAATTGCAATTTTCAGAAAATTACCCATTAGTTAATATTATATCTGCTTTTTCTATTATTATTCTGATATGACATGATATATTTCTTAGCTGATTGTGTTCACCTAAATAGCTTCTGATATTTGCATCAAATATTTTTATCTTAACCTTGTAAACTTACCACGCAAAATATGTCAACATTTTCTCATTGCTATAATGCCCTCAGGATCTTTGTACCCTTAAAAAAAATCAGGTATTCTAATCCTATACCTTAGCATGTAGCTCTTCAGGTATTTGAGACATAGGTGGGAGGTGTAATTTATGACATTGACTATGTGAGGTCAAGAGTCCAAAGACCCCCTTGGCTCCTTTAAAGCATAGACAGCTTTATTTGTACAACATATTGGCCTTTCCCATGAGCCACATAAAAGCTTAAATGGTATCATAAATTCAAAAATCTAGACTTAAATAGGACATGGTTGATGACCTTTTTCCTACCTTATTTGACTTCCAGCATCACTGGGAGTTAAATGCTCAAAAAAAAAGTCTTTTATTTTGTTGTTGTTCTTTCCTTCAAGGGTTCATGTTCAGTAAACATTAGCAAAAACCAGGCTGCCTTCATTTTTTATTTCCTAAATGTCATTTCAAGTTGAGGGTGATTTTTTTTTCCCCTAGTAAACCCATCGTAATGTCATGTTTTTACTTTGTTTGATTTATAGGATTTTGGATCGCTATGTTCAGGATCAAATTCCTGGTGCCAAGGTGGTGGTAGAATCCATTGGTGCTCGCCGGCATGGGGATGCCTTTTCTTTAGAAGATTACAGCAAATGTGACCTGACTGTCTATGCAATTGATCCCCAAACCAACAGAGCCATTGACAGAAATGAACTTTTTAAGTAAGTATATTTTATTATCATTTTTCATCATCATTCTGGTTATGATAGCACCCTGGGTAATTGTAATTTAATTATAAGTACTTAAAGTTTAAAACACACCAAAATGTTGTTGCAAGTGAAGTGCAAGTAATAAATCACAGAGAAAATCTAGGTTCCTCACCACTAAGTTTTCAAGTCCAAGTATGAGCTACAGTGACTTCAGAATATATGGGTAACAAAGAATCTGTTATATGCAAGAAATAACTCTTTGAGGTCACTTTAGGACTGGGTACATAAACTCAATGGTAGAGTGCTTGCCTAGAGTGTTAGGTAATGGGGTTGATCCTCAGAATACAGAAACGAAGAAGAAAGAAAAAGAAAAGAGAGAGAGAGAGATAGCGCACATTCCCTTCATGTTAGGGCCTCACTCTTACTCTAAGACCCTGCCTGTTTGAGAGGAAAATACAGATTCCTAAAGCAGCAGTTTCCCTGCAACAATTCAGTAGACTTGACTGTTAAGACGAAATCTAGCTTTCTAAGAAGTATGTTGAGTCAACAACTCAAAAATCATGTCTATAGTACATATTTCCCCCCCCCTTGATTTGTGGGTGGAGAACAGAGGTAAAAATCACACCCATTTAAGACTATACCTATGTGTATTTAATCCCAGTGTAACCTTAGAGTGAACTTGAATATTTGAGTTAAATATCCTTAAAAAATGGAGGTCAGAGTCTAATAAAATGCTGCTGCATATTTTCCATTGGATGTTATTCTGGCAGTTGAAACTTAAAACAAAACAAAACTATCTTTTTCTGCTTTACTCTAGTGACATCTAGTGTCTAACAGATTCTTGGACTATAATTCAATGTAAACATTTTTAATTTAAAATATATGTTGAATATGAGATCATATGCATATATTCAAAATATTTATTTATGTATTTACACATACTTACACAAAATTTATTCCCAAAGTCATGGTTTCAGAATTTAAATTTGTCTATACATACCAACCAGCTTAGAAACATGTTCATGTTCAATTTTACATGTATCATATATGTCTACATACATTTGTTTATTTAGAAAGTACCTACTTATTCATTTTTACTAAAATCCATAAACTCTCAATTTAGTTTTAAGTCTGTTCATCAACAACAATTCTTTGCTTCTATTTTAGCAAGAACATAATGATTTGATATCAATGTAATTTTAAAAGCCATTGTTATTAAGTTTGTTATTTAACAATTTATTTTAAGAGATTTTAATGCAAGTCAGTACACTTATCACTGTGTGGAAATAGAGATGACGGAAGTGGTAACTCCCTCAGGCTATATAATCACTCTCCAAATGAAGTAACATTTAGACCTACAAAGCCAATTTTGTGCATTTTATTATTTTAAAAATTTATGTAGGACTAAATTACAGAAAGTCTTTCTGTTGTAAATATTATAATTTTTCTTCTTTAAAATATTCATCCTTTTTCTGTGTTTTCTTTGTAAACTTGTTTTATCATAAAATTTGATAATAGATTGGGTTTAGAATGATTTTCCTAAGTGTAAAAAAGTTTATTTTTTGGGACATATGCCTGGTTTTAAAAAGAAAAATAATAGTAATTATAATTTGAATTACACTGTCACACATGTTAGAGATACAATATTTGGGGAAAAAAACAGTAGAGAATACTGATGAATTTTAAAAACATAATTTATGCTGAGAAGAGGGTAGAGTTGCCATGAATTATTGAAATTTAGCCTTACCAGTTTTTATCTTGAGAAATACTGGTCTCATTTTACATTTTAATTGTTCCTTGAAATACTTTACAATAAAATTTTATACACACATGATTTCCAAGGCTGCTAATGTACATGTATCATCATTAATAATGATTAATAATAAAAGTTACTGAAAATTTAGTTTTTAACACTGGACAAGTATTCCAGAATATTCAATTGTTATCTCATCTCCAGGGCAGTGGATATAGGGTTATTCTTTCAATTTCTCTTTATCCTTAAATCTAAGTAACTGAAGATGTTGGAATTCTCAGGTCATATGATTAGAAACAAATAATAATAAAATCAACAATAATAATTACTTTAGTAAGTTAACCTTAATATTATAAAATGGCTTTAAGTTAATCAAACACAAAAAATAAAACACTTTACAGACATGAAGATGACTGGAATGATTCTTAATGACATGTAAATGATATATATTGCTTGGCAAGTCTACTGGTATTTTGATTTTTTTGTATTTGTGGATATGTGAGTTGATTAATTCTCTGTAATAAATATATATCACTTTTATCTTGTTTTGAACTCATTGTACCCACATTTTTGTTTGTTTCTTTATTTTTGGTATTTTTATTGTTTTTCTTTCTAGAATATTCCTCAGAATTTTCTCTTCAAATACTTACCTTTTAAATCATTTTTGAGATGCAATTCCATGTAATTACCCACTTAACGTGGTGTTTAATACAGTAGTTCTTAGTGTTCAGAGTTGTGCAACCATTACCATAATCAATTTGAGAACATTTTATCACATAAAAGGGAATTTATTAAAATTATTTGTTATTTCTGATTTCTCCAAACTGGACTCAAATAACCATCATCTACTTTTTGTGTATTATATTTGCCCAGTCTAGAACCATTTTTGAAATATTCCTCTTAGATAAGAATGAGTATTGTGGAAATGATTATAATACCCTAATCTTCGGATTGAGCACAACCCCTTTCAAAATAGTGATAGCCTTCTTCACAGAGATATGGGGGGAAAAAAGAGTCCAATTTCATATGGAAACAGAAAAGACCTGAATAGCCAAAGTAATGTTAAGCAAAATGAACAAACTTAGTACACTACCTGGCTTCAAAATATACTGTAAAACAAGCTACTGCCATCAAAACACACATAGACCAATGAACAGAACACAGAATCAGAAATAGTTCTACACCTTTACACCCACCTGCTTCTTGACAAAGACGACAATAATTTAGACTTGGGGAAAGAACAGTTTTCAATAAATGTTGCTAGTAATACTGAGGATCTTCACATAGTTGTTAAGCCCCATTTCCTCCGTATTCCCTTTCTGGGACTGCAATCAGAATCCAGTTTTCTTTATGGTGTTTGGATCTCTATTCTGGTGCTCCTCCCCTCCCACTGTTATCTTTGTGTTTTAGTTTGGATACTTTTTCTTGCTCTAAGTTATGGATTCATCTATGTAAGCCTATTGATGAGTTCATTAAAGAAATTCTTCATCTTAATGTTGTTTTAAATAGAAATCTTTAGCATTCCCATTAGATTATTTTTTATAGTTTCCAACATTGTACAGAATCTCTCCATGTTCACGTATGCTTTCCACTTTCTCCTGAATTCTATTGTGTATTCTTCAGAGTAGTATCCAAGTTCCTTTCTGGTATTTCCAATATCTAGGTTATCTGTGTCTGGTTCTCTTATTTTCTTTCTTACTTGACTAGTGTGCTTCTTTTCTTTTATAGTCTATTTGTGTTTTATTTGGTTGACTACCAGATATGTAAAACAGTAAGAACTAATGGGGAGTTTACGTCAGTACATGCACACATCCCCTTTTCTGTTGAGTAAATCTATTCAGGAATTATATTTTGGAACAGTCATTACTTTCAGTGTGTTAAAAAGTTCACATTTTCTCCTGGTGGAATGTGGTTGACACATTCTTAGAATAGAGACTAAAGTGCTGGGGTGTTCTCATACTCCTTCATCGACCCTTCCCTGCTAATGGTCCCTGCAGTCCTCTGCCATGGAGAGAGTCCTCCCCTTCCTCTTTTCTCTCTAGCAGTATTATGCTGCTCTTCCATGTGGCTTGGGTCCAATCTTAATCCAAGGATGTGTGTGGGATGGGGGTTCCTTTGATTATCATCTATAAAAACCAGATAGGTTTCAGAAAACACCTCCCCATTGTCTTATGTTGCAGCATGAAAATTTAAGTTAAGAATATATATACTTTCAAAACCAAAATTGAATTAGCTGGGCCATTATTTCTTATATTGGAAGACTAATCTAGCTAATCCTTATGTAGCTGTGTTCAGACATTGGGCTGGTGTTTTTCAGATTTTGCCCTCTCCATCTTATGACAGCCACACATTGCATTGGATAAGGTTTTTTGTTTTGTTTTGTTTTGTTTTGTTTTGCCAAATGTGAGTCCTTTGTGTTTCCCCAACCAGCATGAAACCTCTATTTTGTACTGTTTCAAAGGATACTAGGCCCAGGGGACCTACTGTTCCTCTTTTAGGTATAGTCAATTTTGGTTTACGCAAAAGTAAAACGTACACCTTCACCTGAACTCTAGGGAAGGGGATAGTTTACGCGTGTGAGATCATTTCTGGGAAATGGCCTCGGTGTTTCTGCCCATGCCACAGCTGTAACGGATTCTTTCTTTCCTGTTCTTGCACCATGAATAAAATTTTTCTCTTGTCTCTTATCTCGTTCCTAATCTCTCTTGTATACATCCATGGAAAAGAGTTTCAGAGGGAGTAAAAATGCCTCTTTATTTCTGGGTTTCTGTTGCTTTAATCTTACAACGAATATACACATACGAGTTTATCAAAATATTAGCTTATTTTTTCTCATTTTCTTTTATGGCTTTATAAAATACATCTCATTTGCCTGATAAAATTCCAAAGAGCAATAAAACAAAATTCACCATGTTGTAAGAAAAAAAAGTTTTGACTCAAAAATATTTAACTAGTCAAGCTGCTCTAAATGTACAAAAAGTAGATCAGTAGTCTAGATAACAGTTCAGAGGGAAACACCTGTATGAATAAGAATTCTTCTTACATGGTTTGAACAAGAGTCCAATAAATTGAGATCTGTCAAATCAATTCCATTTGAAAGGGGCAGATTATCCCTGTAAGTAATTCTTAATCTATATTTCATTGAGAATATATTTCTTTATCTGATAAAAATATCAAACAAAATGATTAAAACTTTACTATATTGTTCTACATGTAAAAATCACCTAGGAAAATTGTTATAAAAGGTTTATTTTTCATCTATAAATACCAGATATGTTTTTTAAAGGCATCCTAATTGTATTATATTGCAGTATGAAAATTTAAGTTAAGAAAGTATGTAGCTTTAAAACCAAAATTGAATTATCTGGGCCATTAGGTTTCTTAAATTGGAAGACTAATAAACTAGCTATCGGAATTCATCTGATACCAAGCATCTT